CAGGTCTGCGGACCGCTGCGGCGGGAGCTCGGATGCAGGGCCCGCCCCGGCCGGCCGGCGCTCTGCGAGGAGCTGGTGGCGTGGGGCGCTGGTGGGGTCACAGTATTCGCGAACTGCGGTGGAGAGGCCGAGTGAAGTGATTCCTGCTGTGCCCGGGTCATAGCCCGCAAATATTCCTCCCTGCAGTCTGTCTGGGTCCCCCACCTAGTTCAAAATCAGATTTGATGGGTGAAAACAAAAGATCCAGGCAGAGGATGTAGCCACCACCGAGCCCTGGGTTCCATCTCCAGCCCTGTAAAATCAGGCACGCTTCTAATCCCAGCACTAAGGAGGTAGGGGAAGAAAGACCAGGTATTCAAGGTCGTCCTCAGCGACTTAGTGAATTCGAAGCCAGCTGGGCTACATGAGGCCCTGCCTCAAAATAAACCAAAACTGAAGTTCTAAGGTCTCATCCTGTATCCAAGTGAAGCTATGCTTCTCTTGCGATCTGCTCGCTTTTGGTTTCGGGGGTGGGAGGCGTCCTCTGGACTCTGAGGAGGGCTCCTCTGAAGTCTGCCTGTGAGTAAGTCCCAAACAGAACCAGGGAAGCCCTGGACTCCTCACAGGTCCTGCAACTCACCACTCACCCTTCTCTGGACCCCAGCTTCCCCTTTTGAATGGTGGCAGATTGGTTCTTTAAATGATTTTTGTGCCTTTGCCTGATAGCCTAAGGAAACCAACTTTGGTACTAAGAGCATCTCTATCTTCACTCATAAATGCACCCAGCAGACCCAAGCTTCACATTTTTAATTAGCTTTTGGGGCGAAGGGGGCAGGGCGGGGGCACGGGGGAGGGGAGAACACCACGGGGCCTCCCTCTACTCTGCTTTCCTTATCTACTGAGTAAAATGTGAAGGCCCTCCTGCCTCATCTCAGCCCATCTACCATAGACATACTCTGGCTTTATTTAGTGCTGGGGATCACACCCAGGGCTTCATGTATGCCGAGCAAACGTTCTACGAACTGAGCCCATCCCCAGCCCAGTACCACATCATTTTCATTTGTTTTGGTTTTTGTACATCACTCCTTTTCTTAGTGGTAAAACTCATCTTTCCCCTTCAGTCACCATTTTCTGAGGGTCCAGTGAGACTAACACCGAGGGAAATGAATACCAAGTCTGCACTAATGGGGCCACTCCGTTCCTTTTGTCGTGGTGGCTGGTGACACAGAAAAACAATCCAAAGCTGCCCAGTCTGACTCTGAGCTGTAGAAAGTCATTAGCTTTTTCATCTGTCATTACTCAGATGTAAGATGTGGAACACCTTGGAAACATCTTGTCATCTTACAGAGGGGGGACTCGTCTGAGACTTAGACTTCCCATTCCCCTTTGAATTAGTCCTGGTCACATGGACTTGCCAACACATGTAAGGGGTATGCTACACTGCTAGTCTGGACTTTAGAATTTGTGTGTCTTCTCCTTCTGGGGATGACCCAGCCCCTCTTCTTTCTTATTCCCTGCCTGGTGATAGGGTAAGTGTGTTTTGCTCTGTAATGTGTTCTTAGCATGGTATGGCAGCCACGCCACAGGCCCAAGAGCAACAGAGCCAATCATCAGCCTAAAACTGAGATGCAGAATAAC